TCCATGTCATCCTGCTCTGCTCGCTCTAGGCACATGGCTGGAAGCGTCAGCCTTCTCCCATTATTCAGAGACTGGTTACCATGGCATCCGTGGAGAGGGAAGCAAGAGCTGTGTCAGAGGACTCGTCGGTCCATGTGTCTGAACATGTTGATGGCGCTGCGGATTAAATTTGTAGTATCTGTTGTTAGTCTGGGTAAATCTGGTTTTATATAAACCCAAACAAGACAGAAAAACATGTGCCTTGTTGTTTTTAATATATCTAAAGTCTTTTATCCTTTAATCTGAATTATTGGAGGGTTATTTTCTAAATTAAGGTGTTTTTACACAAATTGTCTCTGAAAAACTGTACAGTCTGTAATATATGATCAGTTTTAGCTGATGGGGAATTGCTATTTTAGTGAAACGGGTCTAAAGGGTCAAACCGCATTTTGGACCTTCTAAAAATGGGCCTTCTAAGTCTGAAGGGTCAGGATGTTTTAAAGCCTGCAGACTTGACGCTGAAGAGTTGACAGTTTGACAGCACGACCTCAGAGACTTTCCGTCTAAATATTTAACATGGGTTGTTAAAAATTTAAAGGTTAGGACCACAGCAGACTTGGTCGCAACAGCTTCCTGGAAATGTATTAACATAAAGCTGTTTCTGATAAAGCAAAACAAAATCTAAATATCTCTGTTGGTGCTTTTTTTGTTTGTGATAACTTGGGCTGTAATAACAACTTCAGTCAAGCATCAAAGATTTTGGGATTTTAGGAAATGCTTTAATTTTTTTTCTTAGATTTTTGATCCATTTCAAATAAAACCCCACAAAAAAGCAACATGGTGAGTGTATAATTGGCACCCAGGTACAGATCATAGTAAAAACTAACAATTTAAAGTAATAACAAATAAAAACGGAAAACTAATCTTACTTTCAATTAAATTCTATATTTTTTTTTTTTAGATTTAACGGTGTTGGAGTTTTGACTGATCTCATATGCCGAAAATTTTATAACTTAACAGATGGATACCAATATTTTTTCACCTAGACCTACATGTAGGCCTGTCACGATAATCAAGAAATCAATCGCACGATAAATAAAAACCATCCACGTCATTTAATTTATCGGCTATATCGTCTCTGCCTGGGTTTTTCTCTTTCTATTGATGACGCTGGATGAAAAGGCTTAACTCCGTTGCTATCCTCTGACCCCTCCCCTTCCTCATTTTTGAGGAGGGAGTGGAATATCACATCAGGTAGTCAGCGCGCATCATTTTGTAGTTTTGCAGCTTTAGAGCCCCGTGAGGAGTTAGAGTTAGCGAGGTAAAAAAAAAATCTTATGTTCGGGGGGAAAAGCTCCAAATGGACATGGTTTCAAAGTCGAGCGCAACAGCCGCAGTGTGGGAGTATTTCAGATTCAAACCAAATGACCGAGGCGAACCCTTGAACCTATGCGAGCCAGTATGTCGCATCTGTCATCAAACAGTAGCAAATAAGAGCAGCAATACATCCAACCTACACATGCACCTAAAGCACAACCACCCAGCAAAGTTTCTCCAGGTGGGGACAAAAAGTACAAGCGGTGGCCCGTCTACATCTTCAAATTCGTGACAGTCCACCATCACTGAAGCAATTAATCGACAGGCAGCATACGAAAAGGATGGCGCAAAGTGGCACGCGCTCTCAGACAGCGTAGTTCATTTAGTTGCTAAAGAGATGCTCCCATTTAATATTGTTGAAAAGCAGGCATTTGGAAAAATGTTGCAGACATTCGATAGAAAGTATGAACTCCCGAGGAAAACATACATATCACAAACGTGATATGTTGTACAAACATTTTTATTTCCACTGTGGTTTTATCTTGTGTTTAGTTTTTATTAGGGCTGTCAGTTTTAAGCGTTAACGCGTTGACTGCTTTAGACTATAACGCCGACATTTTTTTTAACACACGTTAATCGTGCATCAAAACAAACGCACTGTGCGCTTTTGTTCTTTATTTTTCCGCAGCGCTCGCTGTACTGTTTTACCCTCGGCGCTTTCCGTAGCTTCAGGAACGCTAAGTTTTGGGAGAGACCGCAGCATAACAGACCCGTGCTTTGAATGAGCAAAAATGGCCAGCAGACAAGGTATCGGGAATGATAAGTTTCATTTTAAAGTTATCCCAGAAGGCTGTCTTGACAAAACCTATGTCTATGTTGTCCAGAAGAAACGAGCGTCTCACTGGCTTAGTGCCACCAAGACAAAGAAATAAATTAAGTCATGTGGAATGCACTGCTGCTGCAGCTCCTGTTCAGACCAAAGGAATATTAAAGCATTTTGAAAATGTTCTACATGTAAAATGTTATGTTGTTGAGATGACTGCAAAGCCCAGTTATTGTAAATTCGTTTGATTTATTTATTTATTATTTTGTGAGTAACTTCATTTTATTTGAATTAAGTCTGAGTTTCATAACGGAATGTGCACTTTATTTTAACAGTACATCTTTATTTTTGTCCTATGTTTGAGAAAAAACGTAATTTTATGGAGTTCTTTGAAGTACTGTTTACTGTTCTGTAGTTTTGTAATTTTTTTTTTTACAATTTTTGAATAATTATTGGCCGGAATTTAAACCAGGATATTTTTATTCTAGTTTTTTAAAAGTGCTTTAAAAAAATAATAATTAAAAAAACTTATTGTATAAGCAAGTTTTTTTTTACATTATTGCACATTTGCATTTTTTAAAATGCCCAAATAAAATAAATAAAATAAAAAGATAAAATATGTGATTAATTTGCGATTAATCTTGAGTTAACTGTTGATATTATGCGATTAATCACAATTAAAATTTTTAATAGTTTGACAGCACTAGTTTTTATTCAGGTGTATTTTTAGTTAACAGAGACTATTTCTCGTTTTATTTTGTTAACCAGTTCCAGTGTTAAGTGTTCTGTTGAAAATAGTGTGTTTATCTTTGGCAGGAAATCGCATGTATTATTACGTCATTTTCATTAAATCAGTGTAAAAAGTTCTTCATACAATATTATCGTTTATCGCAATAATTTGAGACAATTAAACTTTCAGCAAAATTTGTTATCGTGACAGGCCTGCCTACATGTAAACACTTTTCTGTTTTCTCCTTCCTGTGATGTGCCGTTTTTGCTAATAGAAGTTCAGCTGCCAGTATGTGACCCTTTGAGGATCCACGCCAACATATTTACTACAGCATCTCTCCTGCTGGGGGTGTAATCCTCAGTTGTTTGTCACAAAAACGTTCTTTATTTTATATAGACTTAGACAAACATTATTGTCATTTTGTATACACAGTGTGTATGTAAAACGAAATTTTGATTTGTACAGCTCTCATGAAATTTGCATTATTTGCATCTTAAAGTGCAGCAGTTATCAATGTAAACATTGTGGGAGGAAAAAAAAAACATGGTGCAAAAGAGCGTCTGACATGATTTAGAGTATTTTTTTTGCATCAAATGCTGCAAAGCCTCTTCCCAGAAGGCTGCAGGGAGAACAGTCCATGGTGGGGGTGTGAGGGGACGTTTATGATGTTACGGGCTCGGGACACGCAGAGCTGGGATGAAATGTCTTTAATGGAGGGAAGAAGAGCCCCCATGATCCTCTCTGCTGTTCTCACCTTCTTCCAGTCTGAGGCGCTGCTGCCTCCACACCACACAGTGAGACAGCTGGTCAGAACGCTCTCTATGGTGCTTCTGTAGAAGGTTGTAAGGATTGGTGGGGGCAGATAGGCTCTCCTCATCCTCCGCAGGAAGTACATGCGCTTTTGTGCCCTTTTGACCAGTGAGGTGGTTTTTACAGTCCAGGTGAGGGTGTCTGTGATGTGCACCCCCAGGAATTTGCTGCTGACCACATCTACAGCTGAGCTGCTGATTAGCAATTCAATTGAATTCAGTTTATTTCTATAGCGCCAAATTCACAACACATGTCATCTCAATGCACTTTACAGTTCAACCAGATCATACAATCAAATTGATACAAAGTTTTCTATCTAAGGAAAATCAGTTGATTGCATCGACTCATTGACTCTTCAGCAATCCCTCACACTAAGCATGCTTGTAGCGACAGTGGAGAGGAAAAACTCCCTTTTAACAGGAAGAAACCTCCAGCAGAACCAGGCTCAGTGTGAGCGGCCATCTGCTGAGGCCCACTGGGGTTCAAGGAGACAGAAGCAGTGGAGCGTGTTTAGGCCGGTTCTTCCTGAAGACCAAAATGATCTCCTTAATTTTCTCCACATTCAGGATCAGGAAAAATCATATGTTTTTTTAATGTTTTGTATTGCTGGAATGCCCAGTGTCTAATATTTAGTTTTGTAGCTCATATCGACCAATACCGATTAGCAGTACCATTATGATTGGTATCACATGAGTTATGATTACAGCTTTATTTCTGAAATGTGTCAAACAGGGAGCTAGTTTATCAGTTAGGAGGGGTAAAAAAGGGAACTGATGTCCCTCTGAGCAGTGGGAGCCCAAGGAGTGGATTAGTTCAAAAGGTCAAAAATCCTCCTCCCCTCCCTAAAAAAATTCCTTAAATAAAAAATCCATCTGTAAAGGCCAGATAAAGATAACTCACTGATTTTTTTATTTTATTTTATTATTATTTTTTTATCCATTAATGGCCCAGCCCTAGCCGCTAGTTATTAGCTTAGCCTTTTGATTTCATGAATTTAGGGGGGACATATCTAAAAGTTTGAGGACACCCGCCCTCCAAGATTTAAATTTGAGACCACTGATCCCAGCTGATTGGTTATCAGATTTAAATGAGACGTGCGTCTCTGTTTGCTTTATTCTTATCTCCGTTATTCTTCCAAGAAGGAGGAAGTTTTCGTTCATAATTTCTTTTCTTGGTTTCATGTATTCCACTAAAATGAAGAAAATCATTAAAATGGCTCCGTAACATTATTATAGAGGAATGGTCAGTAGGTGTAACCATGGTTACTCGTTCGATGACGACCCGGTGACATATCAAGATGAAGATCTTTATGATGTTACCGTGTTTCTCCTCTTTGCACAGGGACCAGGGTTGTTCTGACCAGACCACCACTGATCTGCTCAAGTCCGGCCGTAAGTTGTGCTGGTCCAGAGAAGCCCAGTACCTGTACCTCCGCCGCTTGTCTTCCAGAAGTTTCTCAGCCATCACCATGGTAAGATGCACTTCTGCTTTTAAATATTGATGCTGCTGGACTGTATGGATGGAGCGTTGTCTTTTTATGGGTTACATGTTAACATGGACCAGAGCTTCGGATCAGGAAGCTATTAATATCATACAGATGATAAAAGATTTATTTTTAGGGATTAAAATGGGTTGAGTTTGAAGGATCTTTTCTCGCATCCTTGGTTATCATAGCATTTTTTACAACAATTCTTACATTAGTTGGTGTTTAGGTTGCATTAAAATGTGTCCTCAGTGAGTTTTTTTCTTTTATCTTTTTTTTGTGTATTTCTTTAATTTTGTTTCTTGACTCTTGATAAAACCAGAGTTTTTTCCTCTTATTGCAAGCTGAAAAAAGAAAGGACGCTGCTGTAACTTTGGTTAGATAATTCAGGAAGAAATAAACATTTGAAGCAGTTTGTTGATCTAAGACGCATTGAATATGGGGAGAAGAAAAGAGCTTACGCTGATCTGACCCTTCTCATACCTCACTGATTTAAAAGTTAAAACAGAGTTTTTTTTTTCTTACTAGAACTTTGCAATCTGTTGCATTTTAAGAAAACAATATTTTCGCATCAGGAGGCACTTAATTTAACAAGCAGATGATGTGGTTTTTCTCAATCTGCCATAAAAATAGGAAGAGAGCTGCAGTTAGTGAGCAGATCCAAGAAGGAGAGTAGAGGTTAGCACTTTTCCACAGCAGTAACAGAAAAGTCCTGCTACATTGAGTTCAAAAAGCAAGAAAGCTTTCAAGGTCCCAAAAACATGCTACTGGTTTGAGCAGAAGATCAAAATGAAATCGTTACTACAATAAATGTAAAAAAAAATAAAAATAAAAATCACAAATTCTATTTTTTAATTAGCAAACAAGAATTTTAAGAATGATTTATTGATTCTATAGAATTTTCTGTTTTATATGGATTTCAATATTTTTGAAAAATCTGGATTTGTCCTTCCTGTACTTCCATAATTCAGAGTATCATCAGATGGTCGCTTTGTTTTTATTACCGTCACTAGCCAATCCGTACTGGTAGCACCATCCGCACCATCAGCTCAACCAGAAATACATCCAGGTCGCCCTCGATTGTTCTATTGAAAAAATAGTGAAATACATTTTTTTTTTCTCTACCTAAAAATGAGCATATTAAACTACAATTTGTAAAAGGTCAATTTTATGAGAAAATATATGCGTTTAAATCCTTTTGTAATTTCATCCATCTGTAAACCAGCAGCTCACTTTTTCAGCTTTGGATTTATAATTAAATCAAATCTTTTTGAGTCTATTTTGTGTTTCTTTTACCTTTAGAGTATATAGTGAATAATCTAAGCTACTAAAATACAGATAAACGGGCTTTAACCAGATTTAGGCGCACTGCTCTGAGCACATCCAATGATGACCTCTGACAAGCAATTTAATGTAAAAAGCTTCTAATTGTCAGAAAAATAGTTACAAATTTTCTATCAAATGTATGTTAGCATTTTCTGGTGATTTAAGGACAGAAATCAATATTTCTTCTACCATAGTTACAGTATTTATTGCAACCTGGATGAATATCTGCTTGCACATGAGCAAATGACTTAATTGTACGGATCTTGCTTCTGGTACAGATCAGTTAGTGACAATTAGATGTAGACTCAAAATGATAAACCAGCTCACAGCCTGCAACCTCTAGCTGGTTGTGTTTGCAGCTGCAGGGCCTGCCGATATGTTTTCCCAGACTGTATCACAGCTTGGATTCATTTGGACTTTAAATTCAGGTCAACAAAAACTGAAGCAGTGAAAAAAAAGCTAAATAAATAGATGAATTTGAAGTTGCATGTAAATAAAAATGTATATTTTAAACCACATTCAGCAGCTCTGTTTTCTGCTATTTATGTACGTAACACCGGCAGCATAGAAGCAAAGTCTGCCTTTTTTTGGAGAAGTGCGCTGGCATGCTAAGTTTCAGAGAATAATACTTTTAGTCTCTTTTCGCAGTGAGTTCAGGATTAAAATTTAATGTAGATGTGTGAACAGAAAAGGAAAATAATCTGTTTGTTTAACTGAAACGTCGTCTTTGTTTACAGGCCCTGAGATTTTTAAGCTACAGTTTAAAATGTTCCCCCATGTGTGTCGTAAAGACTTTTAAAGCGTTTTATGATGCAGTGACCACAGCGAGTGAAATCCCAGCCAACCGCTATCCAAACACAGCTGAAGAGTGCAGATGCAAATGGCTGATTTTTAAAGCGTTTCCCTCTGTTTGTGGCCCACAATAAATATTCAAATAGTTTATTTCACTGGCGATTCTTTTAAGTGTAACTTGTATATAAATGTCACTGGTTTTTATTCTGTAAATATGGATGATTAATGCTCAAAGTTAACGAAAACCAGAAATCTAGCAACACTAAATGTTTAGCCACTAGGGGGCTCTAGACCTATGACTTCCAGTGTTTTGGAATCTGCTAGCAGACCACTTTGGACTGCATCATTCAATAATAGGCGAGTAAGGACTCGTGTCCTCGCCACGTATGTTCTTGAGAAGAACACAGTAAAGTGTGGACTTGGGGAGAACGGGAGCACGCAGCATAAATATGGCTCAATTGGAACAGAAGCGTACAGATGACGTCACCACATGCCCGGCTAGTCTAGAGCTACAGTTCACCTCTTGTTGTTAATAGTCTCTAGATAATAAAATATTCTGACTTTTTTTTATTTAGTGGGGGAATAATAATTAACAGTCAGATAAACACAAATCAAATGAACATTTTGCCAAATTAAACAAAAATGGCCATCATAGCCAGTGGTCCTTTACATGCAGCTATGCTGAGAGTGGGCTGCTATAGACGGGCTGCGGTTATCCCTGGTTACCGTTACCCTCGGAGCTCCGCTGGTTGCCGCGGTCCTCTCAATTTCGGAAAAAAAAATTTAATTCCCTGGCGGAGATCCAGGTGGAAAAAGGGTCCCAGCGTTCTCACGCACCTTGCTCTTCTAGCGGGTCAAACTTCACGAGTTGTTTTCCTCAATTTCGGTCATAAAAACAAAACAACCCGGCCTCCTGTCTGCAGCACTGTCTGCGGTCAGCTACAATTTGGGAGAGGTGCAGCGGAGCGTCTGTGGAGGGGGCGGGACGTCTGGAGCCGAGGTATTGCATTGCACTCATTGCACTGATAATGTGCAGCATATTTTTGATGCAACTTTTCTACTTCTGTTATTTGCTCTTGTTTCTAAAAAAAAAAAGAAAAAAAAAAAAAAGCATAACGATATTACAGCTTTCATTGATTTATTTCAAACTTCAAACTTTATTTAGCCTGTAAGGTGTATAAAAAAAACAAAAAAAAAAAAAAAAATTGAACCGATTAATCGAATCGTATCGTGGTGTATTCTTGAGTATCGAAAAGAATCGAATCGTTGCGTCAGGAAGTCGATACTGAATCGAATCGCCATGATGGATGTGATTTACACCCCTAGTTTTTTCCTCCACTTAACTTCCAAAAATCCAATTCAAAAATACCTTTTAGACCTCGAAAGGAAATGCGTTTTTTTTTTTCTGAGTTGTTTATGTTGGTGGATATGATTTGATAAATGATTCAGTTTTCTGCTCAGAGCCATCAGGTCAGAGCCTCTTTTTCCTTCCACCAAACTTCCCATCGATCAACCGGGACGTTGCTTCCTGTGGTCACCCAGCAAATTATATTTCCATTTACCTTCGCTGACTTATCCTCCATGTGCAAGATGTCCTTTAATCTCTTCAGAGCAGTTTGTTTCTTTTCCTTCCACTAAACTTATTTCAATATTCGGATGCAGAGATTCTCTAGAATTGCCAGAATAAAGTGAAATTTGGTCTTACACTTGTAGTAAATCATAATCTTCGTAACTAATAAAATAAAAATATGCTTGAAATGATTCATTCGGGAGCAAATGGATGTGGAATAATTAACGTTCTGAAGAGAATCTATATAATATTTTAATATAGTAGAGATTATCTCGATGGATTGTCCCTGTTGACAAACTTTTTCCCACAGGACTGTTTTCTAGAGGGCTCTAGGTCGTCCTTTGGTCCTTCGGGCAAATCTTAAACATAATAATCTAGTATGATGGGGAGCTCAGACACTTTGTTGTTCATTTAATGGTTTATTTTGATGGTATCTTATGTGGTTTACTTCTGGCTGCGAATGTAAGGCCAGATTAGCCTGAGAAACATTTCAGTGACAGACTGTTTGTTCTGCTGCTGTTAAAAAAACTCTTCCATTGTTTGTTCCTAATCTGAGACTGCCGGCTTAATGAAAATGTTGCATTTGTGAAACCGTTTAGTAATCCCATCGCTGGATGAGTCAAACCTGCCTGCATCAAAAAGCAGAATCATCCTGCTGACATTGGATTACACAGATAGATTTCAGTGACTCAGTGTTTCCCAGGCTGCTGCTTCTTTCCTTTTTTATCTTTATTTGAACACTCCTCTCCTGCAGGGACCCCCCCCCCCCGACACACACACACCCACCCAGGATGATGATTAACCAGAGAGACATGTCGGATCCAGAATGCTTCATTGTTTTAATGGCTCAGTCTCACAAATAATTCAGGTCAGGGAGGCTGCTTTGCATAAGGTTGGCCTATTTTGAGTCATGCTTGACATTTTTTTATCTGCTCTGGAATGTGCTTATTTCTACTACATTGAATCCTTTTCCAGAAAAACTCACTCGTATTTTCTAACCATATGGTTAGAAAAACAAGAGCTTTTACAGTAGCTAAAGCCTGAATGTTTTCAGACCTGGATTTATCCAGGAAATTAACCCGTTTAGATAAATAACTTGATTAGCTGCTGTGCTCAGGCAAAATAAAACAGTTTAAAAATCAAATTAATAACATAACCGATTCATGTTACTCATGGATACACTTTTATGGAAAAATTTAGTGTTTATAAGAGTAAAAGATAAAATCAATTTAAGCTAAATTCTACAAACGAAGGGGAAAAAAGCTGCGAAAAGATTTACAACCAAAGGTTATTAAATGAA